ACGTACGAAAGTAACAGTGATGAGATGCGGAGGGATAGGAACTTTCTACATATATTCCTTGGTTGCGAGAGGTATTTGGTGGAGATTCAGAGAGATTCCTTGAGTGACAAAGAGTGAAGGCGTGCCCAGATACCGTGAAGGTTTGACGAGCACTGGCACGCCCCCGATGAATACAATACTTTCCAATCCTTTTCGATACGTTTTCTACATGTTTCTACCCTTCCACGCCCCGCCATGAGCCACCCGCTTTGAGCTCCAAGCACAAAGAACCGAGCCACCCGAATTATCGATCAGTGCCCACTTTTTTTTTTTTCAAATCGTTCATACAATTAATTATTGTATGAATTTCCACCACGTTTGGTCGTGTTCATAGGGGCGTTCGAGCATGCTCTTCTTATGTGCTGTAGCCGCCCAGCCGCTCCTATAGCAGTAGGGAGGCCGCAGAGCTACGGCGGAGAGAAAACCCTAATCCCGTTAATCGCTGGTGTACGTAGTAGACCAAGAGGCAGAGAAACTGTTGAGATCTCCGCTCAGAACTTCCAATCTCCAAACATCATGTTGTTGTGTAGGCTACACTCATGTGGTAATCAGTTTATTTACTGCTTGGTCGGACGGACGCGGACTACTTGGGCGTGGCTTGGAAATGGCCTAAACGGGAGTCGCGCACTGAGCGATCTCATCAGACAAACGAGCCCCTCACAACCTATCGACGCTGAAAATGCGATCGGCCGATGATGGTGTTGTCTGTACCTGAAAAGCGGTGCCTCCCGGAGAAATCGATATGGTGGCGCACTGACCGTAGAATGACGAACAGCCCAGCAAGAGCAGTGGCAGCAGCAGCGACGACGACATTGGATCTCTTTGTCTCAGCAGAAAGATTTCGCAGTGCAAACGTCGCTCGCGATAACTGCGCTGCTGGTGATACCACGCGGGTTCAGCAGCAGTCCGGAAATGTGGGCTAGTGGGGTGGCGCTGGTGATGAAGGACCCGTGCAAGGAGAGTTATTGTACGGCCCGCCAACCGCCCGCCCGTCTGTCGGGTGGATGTCTGTCATATTTTTCCCCATTATTCATGTTTTTCGGATAAATGGATGTGGTGTGGTTGATGATTGGTTGGTGCGTCTTCGTCCCGTTTTTGTAGTTAGTTGCTGACCACACGTTTGGGATGGAGACTGCGCAGCAATCTAGGCAAATAAATGCATTCTTCTTCTACTGAAGACCATTTCCTACTTACTTATAGTTCTTGTGTCCAGGGGGGGAACAAACAAACAAATACTTCTATTTCATCCAGCGGAGACAAACAGGACTGCCAGATTTCATCCGTTGGCGGTCTGAGCTGGTGTTTTCGGTTGGATTTCAGATTCAGAAGGGGGGAGAAGAGCAGGGCACGGACTGTTGTACTTCATTCATGTCTGCTGTGTGTGTGTTCTACTTGAAATTTCGTACAACTACAACCAGCCCGGGTCACACAGGAGGGAGTAAACACACACCGGGGGCTTTTTTCCTCGTTTTTTTTCTACAGTACAGCGGTACAGAGATGACCCAACGAATCCATCTCGGTCTCTTTTTATTTTATGTTTTATGCCCCACCTTCCTGCTGCGGTGCGCTGAATATTATTCTTTTGATCGCGAGAAGGGTCCTCCAGCCGTCCCTTTCCCTCGTCGACGGTGCTAACGTCGAGGCATGCCTACATGTACAGGAGCCAGTACAGGAGCCAGTCGGGGGCGCCATATTCATACGTAGTCTGGTCCTCACCCAATGTTCTTTGGGAATAGGTAGA